TTTTGTTCAATTTCTTTACCTTTCTTCGAATAAACCATCTATCATCTTATAAATGCCGGTATGCCACTGATCTAAATCTTCATAGGCTTTATCCCTTGGTTGTTCAATTTTTAAATCTTGAATTTTCTCAGTCAATACATTTCTGTGTTCAACCAGTAGATGTAGTTGATCTTTAATTGCTTCAATATGTTCATTAAAGTGTTTACTGGAAATATTTTCTGACAACAGTAACAGAGTGTAGCCACAGATCATGTACAGCCTTGAGTTTGACATTGATTCCTGGACAAGGTAGGAAACATACCTAATTATTTATTATCTTGCCGCTCGAGAATCACAGGACAAAAACAGTGCAGTTGTGTTATTGATAGGAGTAAAAGAAAAAAGACACTAAAAGTTGCATTCAGATATTGTTTTTCAAGTGTTGTTAACAATACAACAAAAAAAATATTTTTTCATTACAGCAGTGACTACAATAAGCTTTTCAAAGACAGTACTCCTCACACATCGAAAGGTGAAAAGGAAAGAAAGAAATTCCCTTTTCTTTTTGTTCAGTTCTGTGTAAGCTGTATGTGTGCCATATACCTTTTATTTTATAATTTTATTGTATGGTAATCATGTACTTATTTGTGATAAGGACAACATGAGCGCTTTTATTCAAGAAGATCAAGCACCAGTTGAAACAGAAGAAGTTTTAGTGCAGCTATTTTTTTGTACTTTATGATTAGAGCTCTGATCAGTTGTGCCTCTAATCATCTTTTCATGTTCCTTTCTTTAAAATCTTTCTTTACAACTAGAACTTGACATACATAAAACAAGCAAGGACTAAATAATCCTTATCGCCATAAGACAAGCTCCGAAATGCCAAAATGAAGTCAGTGTTTGAGTTAAAATGAAGAGCAGCAAACAGTCCTAACTTATCCTTCTTACTACGACGAAAGAGCCATAATCTCTTCATGAACATGTAGATGAACCCTTTTGTCAAATATTTTTCAACATTAAGACGATTTTCTTTTGGAAAATTTAGTAATGCCACACGTACGAGATTTGTTGCACTTTGATCTTCTACATCAGCATCCACCCATCCGAGACACGACACGAAGCAGTCCGATCCATGTTCCGTCTTGGATAAGCCAAAAATGAAGATCCCGATTATCTGTTTGAATTTTTCTTCTAAATATATCTTGATTTGTTGCCATCAAGAATATGATTGCATGTTTCACATACACGTATGCACCGAATTCCGTTGTATGAATTGGAATTCGCTCACCGTATAAATCTTTCAGTTTATTGACGATTTTCGGAGGCGGTAAACGTACTTTGTGTAATTGTTCAAGATCGTAAATTTCTTTCCAGGATTGGTTAGAAATTGAATATTCCAATTTGACGAGAAGAATTTTGAAAAATATCTGCTTTGTATTAATCTCATTTCCTTGATGTTTTTCGGCTTTAATTCTTCGTCTATTGAGTCTTCTGGTGAACTTGAGCACTTGTTTCCTGAAACACTTGACATGGATGCTGTGTCCGCTATAGAAGACATTGATACATTCGTTGAAGTAACGGATTGCAACGTAGAATGATAATTAGTATCTATTGCCGTTGATGTATTTCCAAGGTCAGTTGTTTGTAATGACTGAAGGTATTGTTCTCTTCTCGTTCTCTTCCATTCTAAAGTTCAAAAAATATTCCTTCTGTCTATCAGCGAAAACGTTCTTTTACGGCCTTCTTTTAGTTTTTTTGCATCATTCATAGAAAAAACAGCGAATTAAGGAGGGGGTGTCCCATCCGATTTTTCCACCAGTTTGTAGAGGACACTTCGAAGTATATGTGCTGAAGTTTTCTCAGCTTATTTACGTTATTTGGCTGAGAAAAAAATGAATTACTTCCTATGGTTTTTGGAAACAAAGACTATGTTGAAATTTCCAGTGGAATAAAAACAGACTTAAAGATATATTTAAATTGACTGCGAGTATCTCAGCATTGTCATTCACTAGAACTGTGGCTTTATGTAACGGCAATGAGATGCGTCCATAAGCCGAAACGGATGATGAATGTTCATTTGACATTGGCATGATACTTAATGTCAGTGATGTATCGGGTGGCCCAGATAAAGTCGGACACTTTCATTCGTTGTGCATTGTCCGGCAGTCCACAGAGTTGGTTCTGAGCTCAATCGATAGAGAATTGAATTCTCCACAAAACTTGCTATTTGAATCTCTGATAACAGTTTTGTTGTTTGTGCACTATTCAAAATATTGAAGAGTGCTGAGTTGCCTGACTGCGACAAGCTTTTCTCGTCTTCTTTTTTGAGATTTTTAGCCCATATCTGAGGTTCCATAGTTAATTTATCTACGTAGATAGATAGAGAATTTTGTGCTCTATCGATCCCACTTCTTTACAACTTCATACAATGTTTCTGCTACGCCAGCTAAACTTATAATTAGCTCTCAACCGATTTTTCAATTTTTTCAAATTAAATTAATTTTTTTTAATTACTGGTTTCAATTGAGAAAGTTTGTTTAAATATGAAACGATGCCGAATTTAAGTCTGCGTAAGAAAACAAGACTAAAACCCTGGATTCTCAACATTTTACTGCTTTTATAGACCAAAAACTAAATTCTGTGAAAAATAACTTCGAAACTTAGGTTTTATTAGATTTGTCAGTTTTTTGCACAGACAAATTTTCTTTGAAGACTTAACTGTAAAATTTCAAAAAATATGTGAGAAGATGCAGAATTTTTCGGTAAATCGTCTGGTGTCTTCAAAATTCTTATGAAATCTGTTTTTGGATCAAGACAAATATTTTTCGATTTTCAGTGTGTCGTAGTTAGGCAACTCAGCACTCTTCAATATTATGAATTGTGCACAAACGACAAAACTGTTATCAGAGATTCAAATAGCAAGTTTTGTAGAGAATTCAATTCTCTATCGATTGAGCTTAGAACCAACTCTGTGGACTATCGGACAATGGCTCATGAATAACGAATGAAAGTGTCCGATTTTATCTGGTCCACCCGATATTATTCATTTTTATATGATCAATTGATCCTGGAGTTATATGTTTAACTAATGGTGCTGTTGGTGTTACTAATAAGTCTGGTTTATCATTATTTGGATTAAATACATAATCACGAGCATCCGTTTCAGAATAAGGTGTTCTTTTTGTTAATACTGGAAGAAGCAAAGTTATTTGATCGTTGCCGAAACATGAGAACGAGATTTCTTATATTGTCGGTCGGCAGCGACTGCTGTGGCATGTAAACGAACTTTGATTTCTTTTCCATTTCTTCAGATAGATACAAATCACTAATTTCTATCAATATACGTTTAACATAAGCATTTAATCTTGTTTCCAAAGTGGCATCTTTTAAATAAGGATCGTATTGAATGAATGCTTTAATGTCGAATGTCGGACGTCAAATGTCGTATCAATCGATTACTAACTTCGAATTTTCGTCTGACTGCTTTTTGTTCCTGAAGATAAAAAGATAAGATTTTGATGGCACAGGCCTTTGTTTACTTTAAGGGGGGTCTCCCTTAAATTTAGTTTTTAAAGATGATTCTTCTTACTTCTCGTGGTGTTGTAAACGTGTCTCGAAGTTTGTTCACGAAGACTGCTACACGTTTCGGATCTTTAAATAATGGAGGTTTCTTAAGTAAAAAAGTTATTGCAAAATCATGTGAAATAAGAAAGTTGTTGTTTTTTCCGAAAATATGTGTACTCATCTGATCTTTTTCTTTTGCACAAATGTTCGAGCCAGTTGTGCATTTTTTCCAAATATAAATCATTTTCTTTGTTTCTATTATTATCATCATCACCAAACTATAAATAGAATGATTATTTTGGTTTATACACAAGCTTTACGACTTTTGATAGTTCTCTTACTCGGCTTTCGATATCACGAATTCGTCTTAATCATCTCTTTCACTATATATATCAGCTCTTTGAGGTCACCCTCACCCTCACCGCTCTTTGAGCTGATATATCATCCTATAAAAAATGCAGTTTAAAACAAATTCTTGTCTGTTTTAATTATACTGATAGTTTATTACTTCAGAATCAAATGTTATAGAAGAGGTTGTAGCAGGTTGTCGATTCTGTTGTTGTGCTTGTAGTACTGGTTGCGGAGCCGGTTGGATCTTTGAATTACAAAAATTTTAAAAAAAATAATCGATTGATTTATCCGGTTCACTTACAAATGGATCGATTAATAATGGTACGAAATGAGTCGGTGCACAAAATTCAGTTCTCATTCCCATCTGAACTTGTGCTCTCCAGACATCAGCCGGCATACCGCTACACCATAAAATATTGATTGTGATGTTTCGGGCCGTTCTACGTGGATGAAAAACATGATTCATTTGAAGTGGTTGAGTGTTGCCCATTTCTCCTCTTGCAGAGACTAGATCGAGAATTGGATGAATTGATCAAATGCTACAATCTAATACATTGCACAAGCCAAAAATGTCCCACGGCTCGCTTCTCGCATCAAGAAATATCATAACTTCAGTAATATACTGCTTGAGATTCTCATCAGCATGAGCATAGGTGTTTTATAATAAGTGAAATTGATTATCAATTCGATTAAATTTCGAACTTTGAGTTCTCGGACACATTCTTCATTTGATTTCTTTACTAACTCGGCTATATGACACAATATATTTTCTAACAAAAACATTTTCTCGAAAAAATGTAGATGAGGGTGAGGGTCCCCTCAGGTGTTTTCGTCGAAAAAAATTTTGAGTAAGATGAGGATATATCTAAAAGTGTACGTTTCCGCTGACTAAAAGTGTGAACTTCGGAATGAGCACAAAATTCTGTGCAAGCCAGTATAATTTATTAATAGGGTACGAGAAACTCTAATTAAAAGCGTCCAAAAGTGAAATATGTCGAAAGTTAGACTGCTCATTGTATAAAAGATATTTTATCATTATAAAAAAAAAGAGAATACTTTCAGTAGTGACGTGTGTGACCTATTTGCTACAGGCATTTACGTCTAGAACGAGCGATCACAGATTCAATCCCTGTCCACGTCGTTCTTTTTTTCAATTCTTTTCTGGTCTAGGGAGTTTTTATTTTAATTCATTATTATTTTCAGAACTCTTCAGTTCTAACACTAAATAAAGGATAGAACAACGAAAGAAAAGAGCGCCGTCTCTCATAAGTAAATGAGTTTTCTCTTTTTAGCCGTTTCGCGCCATACTTAATTAATGAGACTTTTAATGAGAGCAGTTAGCGCCGTTTCCAGTCTGTCTAGAGCTATTCTAGTTTGCTGTGATCTGTTTATTCCATTTTTGGCATTTACAGCTTATTAGATGCGATAGTTTCCTTAAATTTTACAATTCTAACACAATTATTGGGAAAAATCAGTATTCTCGAAAGAGAACCAAAAAAAGCAATAATGAGTCTCGTGTGGAGACAAACAGTATGATCGCAACCGTCAAAAATTTATGGAACAAGGTGGTATTCCTATTAAATGGCCATGGAGGTGACGACTATAAAGTTCGTTTCTCTACAGCGGCTCGTCGGTTCAGGTAGGGTGTTCCAATATGGCACCCGTCCTTTGAGACTCTTTTATTATTTGGTGAGTTTAATGGCAGAACAAAACTTATCGTTTTTGAGCCACGATTTCCACTGAAATAATTCTTTGCTCTACATAGAGATCTCTCTGCGACGAAGTTTAATTACGTCGCGTTCTCAAAGAAAAGTTCGAGTAAAACATGGTGTAATCAGGATTAAAAAGAGGATCCAAAATTCTTCAAAATACGAAGGAAATTATGCCTAACTTCCTTGTAGCAAGGTTTGAATTCTCCAAGATACGCACATATTTTTAATTAGCAGTTCAGGAAAGAAAAATTGATCGTTATCTTTGATGTCTTGCACCGTTTCTACGCTCCTGCCCAATTATTTTTAATTAGCGTAGAAAGCGCCTGCTTTCATCTTTTTCGCGCTTATTCTATGCGCCAGAGTATGCTGAATTTAATTTTAATATTTCCAACTCAAGAAATATGGTACACTACCTCATGACATGGAGCAACGAACTAACAGTCAATTATAGACAAATGCACTTCGTGGCGCTCTCTTACGCGTTTTGTGAGTGAAGTTGATTTTCAAGAATTCATTTCTAGTTAATATTAAGGCTCATATTACGGGCTTTCAGAATATATATTCAGAGTTGAGTGACGCGATGAAAGTTCACTAGATCGAAGGATCCAAACGATGGCGTATCTTAGCTACTGAGGTGTTAATGGTTTTGTTTTAGAAGCTGGCGCGAATTAAATAGCTGCCTGATTATTTTTAAAACCAAAGCGATGAAATTGATATACTACCTGTATAATTGTTGATTTTTGGATTTATCTATTTTAATCGTGTAGTAGACGATCGATGAAGCATAATAGTTAATCTACTGTTTTTTTGCGAACGAACTTTTTGCCCAAAGCGGTTGATCTACGATGCGAATGAGTTATGTAAGTTTTAGCCAGAGTAATTATCTATGTTTTCGGTTACGAGTTTTTATTTTATAAAAGGGTTAAGAAGGTACCAAAAAACACAAATTCTGTAGAACTAATTATATAAAAAACTAAAAACCGGCTAATTTTACCACAAAAACAACATATTGATATTTGAATTTTCATCGTTCATATTCGTCACTCCTGTTTTTTGTTTGAGATTGTGCTGTCTTTTACCAGCTATTCGTTTAGCATTTCTGGATTTTGCATTTCTTGCATTAACCTATAGAAAAAAGATTGAATGATTCATAACTTTTACACGCAGATCGATCTTATGCGCCGAACCTCTGTGATATTCGCAATATTTGTGGACAGTGTACGAAATGAAGTACTTCTCGAAAATGCGTCGCAATTCGTTGAATATTGCAGCGATGATTGTTTTCGCTCGAAGTCATCTTCAAACTATATCAACAGAAATAAGAAAAACTAGTAAGAATACTACAGAAATAAACTACCTACTTTTGCTGAAAATGATACATTTTGTGTAAAATCATTGTGATCTGTAGTATGATTCAACAAACATCTGGACTCCGTTAGACAACTTTCGTCTAACGAAAGTTCTGCCGATGAATGATGTTGTGGAAAAGGAGTAATATAAGTGCATTGTGGCTTATGAATCAAATCGTCTTCGAAATCAGATAAATTATTCTAAATAAAACAAGACTAGATGTTTACCAAATGACTTGAAAATTATAGTATCGGTGTCACGACATGAACTCGTTCCAATACTGTGAGAACACATTCTCACAATCATTACTATTAAACACGTTTCCCAATAATAGGTTCCTATCGACTAGGAACGCATTAAATAACAACACGTTGGTACTGTGACGGAACGCGTTCGCCTTTACCAGGAATCCGATCGAACGCGCTCTTTCTCCTCAATACGTGTTCCACTTCCTCGAGAAGGCGTTCTTGGCCGTTCTTTTCCAGTAACATTTTTTCATGGAACACTGTTAATAGCGTCATTTCTGACATTCGATGTTCTGAAACAAAATGCTTTAGCAAAGTGTTTTGGTCGAGAAACCATTCTTCACTTTACTTTTCTGTATACATGTTTGATGAACGTATATAAATAAAGCACTTCGAATAATCTTTTTTAGTTTGTTGGTTTTTAGTGTCGTAGATCCAAACTACTCTAGAATGTCAGCACATATTCCACTGTGATGTATTCTTCAGTTAATCTATACGTTCGAGCTTGAACAGTATATATACTACAATTATTGAAAGTAATTAAAATGACCTTAGCGCAAATGACTTCTCTAAACAAGTTACGCATCTCGTCGTATAATACAGTAATGACACAATCAGATTTTTATTCACATAGTCCAATTAATATTTGGTTGAAGCAACAAAGTAACATTTCCATTGACCGTAAGTCTATGGTCATAAGAAATTTATTGTTTGTGTGTCCGTACGTACTTGTGACCGACGCAATCATAGATGTCACACACGGTGACGGACGTATACACGCTAATGAGGGTTAAAGACGTACGCACACTGATGAGTGTACACAAGCAGCTGAAGCAAAACTGAACCTTTTCCTTATTGTGCTTATGATCTACGGACGATCTACGTGTTACTGTTAAAAAAATGAACGATGAATTTTTTCTCAGCACTAAAAAATTCAACAGGAATTGTGAGAATGGCACATATAAATAAAGTTTAAGATACCTCGAATCTAGCAAAGTCGGACAAGCAACCGCTTTTCTGAAGAGAGAAAAAAATGATTCTGTAGAAAGATTAAATAGAAAAAGTTTCGTGTGTCACACGAGCAAGTTTTTTATTTAAAATCTGCAAAATTAAAACTGCCAGTAGCCGCTGACTGAAGCTAATTGGAAGTTTCACTTTAGGTTAAAAAAAGTTGATGTCCAACAGTTTGAACACATTTTCTTCAATTGTCAATCTATTTGATGATAGAATATGATCAAAGAAAATTGTGATAATATTCGAATACATTGAAATTCAATGCCAGTTCTTCTTCAAATTTTTATTAATATATTTATTAACGAAAAAGCCAACTTTTCTATAAATTAAGTGTCTTCATGAAAAAAGATTATCATCGTACTTTAATCAGTGATTGAAAGACTAGCATCTGAATTGAAACAAAATAGAAGAAAGTTAAAAATAGTGTCACCCTCATAGAAGTAGTAATCACTTTTATCATCCAAAATCGATGATAAAAGTGTGAACTTAATATGTGTAGAAAAGGAACAAGATCTTCTTGAAAGGGAGGTCCATGAAATGAAGACCAACAAAATGATACTGCTCTGTTTAATTAACAATCTAATTTCAGCTGGCAAGTGAAAAATTGAACAGAGTTTTTGCATGTTAATCGACCGTTACATTAATGCATTTAAATTAAATTCTTAGTATCATGATGAGAAAAGCTGCTTGAAGCTCAAGCTAAATTCAAAATCGAGTTGTGCGACTTTGATCTTCAGCGCTTACAAAGAGCCATGGCTGATTCCAAAAACAAATTGCTACCTTTTTCGGTGAAAAAAATTGGAAGTTTTTCTTAACCAAATAACTGCGATTTATCTATCGGTATTTTTTTAGCGAAAAACATCAGCCTGCGTAATAATATAAATACAATAAACAAGGCGACCATTTGATAGATATTTTTTCATCTTTCTTAAAAAAACATTACGTCTCAAAGAAATAAATCTTTTAACAGAATAGTTTTAGAAATTTATCAGAAGTTGACTCTTTCCTTTGCTTGACTGATTGATCCGAAAAGTAAACAGACTCTTTAAAAACATTAATGATAAAGAGCTAAAAATCTTAAACTCTGTTTCTTCTTCTTATACCTCGAACACGTTCACATTAATTCAGTTCATTTTAAATATACACATAAAAATAAAGCGAAGATAGTT